CAATATCACAATATCAGGCTTATTCGCAAGAATAGTCCTGTCCGTGAAAGCTGAAACCTGATATTAGACCTGATATAGATCGATCCCAATAGATTTTGGTGCGGTCATCTTCGAGTATTGGCTCCGGTATATACTTGTAATATGGCAACCTCTGTTGCACTAGTCCGTACTTGAGAGCGAGATTATTATTATTATGTATTATTTTTATTATGTATTATTTTAAAATACGGTAGATATCGTTGTACTGCATTTTTATTCTATTAATACTTACAATACTATTTACAGTATTTTATGAAATACATAATCGAATTACATTTCCGTTTAAAGCATTAAAATAATTTTCTTAACTGTTCAGGAAATCGTTTTCTTTCAGACATAAGTAATAAAAGTATGCTAGTGGCTCTGCTAGAGTTCCTCCATTCAAAGTTATGGTAATTTCGTCCAAGCCACTCAACTCTCGAGGTTTTTGGTTTCATATTTTTACTACGTATTCTGTACGCCTCACTATCAGTCATGCAAGACTTCATCACCCTTAAGGTTGTTGGTGAAACCAGTACATTTCTATTATGTTAATTTCAGGTGGTTTACGTAGAAGAGCAACTGACAACCCACGAGATATTAATCAGTCCATACACAAGGAAGCAAGTCTGCGCCGACAAGTTGTTAAAGACCACCGTAAATGAGTAAGTTGAAAACAACATAGGTAGAAGAAACTTGATGTCGTCGGCACCGTATTAAACCAAGTGCATAGCCATTATCCAAGTTATTAGTCAAGTTTGTGAAATTAGTCAGTAGTTTCTTCTTCAACTGTCGACTGAATATTTAAAACTGCGAAATATTCATAATCAGTACGCCAAATAAATTGATTTATTGATTAAATATGATAGTAATAGGGTAAATAGTAACTACAGGATTGTAAATTTAGTACCCAAATTTCAACAAAGGCACATTGTGGTGGATGAAGACAAGTATTTCTGCATTAAGTGGTAAAAGTTTGTATTTATTTTCATAAATAAGACCAGCTTTAAAAGATAGTTTTTCACTATAAACTCTTGCAAACTTTGTTAAATTTTGAGTACTACTTGTTATTGCCTGACGACCAAATGAAAGGATCACACGATCACGATCGATCTGAACTGACTTCAAATACAATGTGTACCTAGAATAATGAAACGGTAAGGAGATAATTTTTTTGTTAATCTGGTATCATGGCTTAGAATAACTTAGATCACTAACAAATTAATGAAATTAAATTGAAATAAATTAATAACGGGCGTATCAAATGCTAGGCTTATACTTACAACAACTAGACATTTTAATATAGCTAAAGAATGATATAATTGCTGTTTGTCCATCTCCACCTCGACAAATTTTGCATTCAGCACAACAAACAAACAGCGTTGATATTAAAATATTGAAAAAGATGCGATCTTTTGCACTGTTTACATTTTTCTCTTATGTATTTGTTTGTGTTATTGAATAAATTAAAAAAATATATGAAAACCAAGAGACCACAACAAATCAAATCGTCAATGTAAAAATGCAATCATTCACTAACCAATCAATAATGGCGATGCGCCCTGTAAAACAGACGCGGCATGTTTACGGCAGTGGTCCAGATATCCGACTATCTGGCCTAAGTGTTCGCCGGATATCCGGCCAAATCACTATCCGGTTCATCTCTAATTAATTAATATTATATATATTTAATTTGAAGACTAAATTGCTGATTAAACGAGATAAAAATTAAGATATGCATAATAGTTTTAGTAAGGCAACATCGATCGTTAGTAATTGAATGCCATTAATTACACTGACGTATTGAGACTCAACTGCCATTGCAATAACTTATATAAATAGATTTTAGCAGAAAAATATCATAATTGCAATGTGATCTCAATGAAGTCTCAATGGTATTACAAAGACCCGTGGTTTCAAGAAAATTGGCAGAATTGGGCCGCTGGGCTCCTGGTCTGTAAACATGAAAAATATGTATATGCGTACTGCGTATTATAATAGTAGACACACAATGCGTGCCTAATTTTTCTACACTTGGATGGAACATTGACAGTACATACTTCTACATAATAAAGGAATAACATTTGTGACTGAGATAATACCACATTTAAGAAACCAATTTAAAAACAATCATTTTCGATTTATTACCTGGTTATGTCTATTCTTACTTAATGCAATCATTTTACTTTAATGCGGCATAAAGGGGCGCACCTAGTTACTCGAGGTACAAGGCGCGCGGCGGTGGCTTGTAAGTGATAAATATGAATAAATATAGATGTAACAGAATCTGACGACATTTGCGAAATTTTAAAAGTGTTTTTAATAATATAATTACTTAATATAATTGGAAAAAACGATCTTGATATTTGTGATTTTTAACATCATTCACTGTGTTACTTCTAAAGTGAACTTATTACAGATTCTTTGATTTTTTTTGCATCATATTTATAATAAAAAGTTTCTAAAAGGTTCAATCGTAGTTACCCGCCAAATTAGGATTGGCATCTAATTCTTGTTTTAAAATTTCGTATCATGAGATTCTGCACCTACTTAAACCTATTTCTATTTTTTTTTGCCAAACAACTATGTTTTACATGGTCTCATACAACCCAAAATGGGGATTTTTAGTGGGGCTTTGTGGAATAAACCAATATATCGGACATGATTCTATATCAAGAACAAAACAATGACTTAATCATGTGTATGGCAAAAATAATTAATCCGACAAAATGACACAGCTTTACCCAGAAACCCAATTTTCATCTTCATATAAATTAAATTAAAGGTTTGTAACTGTGACATCGTTAACTGGGTTTTATATAAATTCGAGGCAGTTTAGAAGATGTCTGTTTGCTCTTTCTTTAAAGAATCCCAAGTTGAATCGTTCGAGAAATTCAGATCCCACACGGAAAGTAGGCGCTTTGACGTCGAGTTGCGGACAACAGCCCGTTACACCATACCATACCAATTCAGATCCCAGCAAAGAGTTGCACTCTTCAGTTGTTTCGCATAAAACCCGCTATGGCATACTAAATGAAGATTTACCTATCCGTTTACAGCCGAGGCGACGACATGTTTCGCATACCGAAGAATTACAAGAGCATTTACGCCAACAATTTGAAGGTGAAAGAAGGAGAAGACGTCTCTCAGGAACAGAGGAATCTTTGTAATGAAATCAAGTGCGTATTTCAATCCGGCTAGAAGGCCAGGTATACTTAACGTGGCTTTTTCGGTTTTTTAATGGTGACCTTTAAATAATATACTGATTTTTTTTATCTAAAGGTAAAAACAATACGAAATCCTTTTTTGTTACAGAGAAATTTTTGAAACTGGTGTAACTAAAGAAAACTACATAAGATTCTTCCACAATCTGCTTTGGTATGAAGAAACAATTGCACGAATTAATCTTAAGGTATCTCTCACGTATAATAAAATATTGTATTTTAAAATCAATTATTTTTTAACGAAAATTGCAAATCGCTGCTGTAATGTCGCTGGCCATGTCGTAAACGCGAGCATTACAATACACAATTAGCACGTAGTACACTTCGTATTATATTGCGATGTTTGTTATATTTGCACTGACGAATGCTCCAAATAATTTTCAATACTATAATAATAGTATTGTTTGAAAAGTGGTAAACCGTATAGCAGCGTTCTTTTTTCCGTACTTCTGAGATACCCTGTTATACATTTTTTCAATTTCTATAACGATTTTTTGATTAAAATAATTATAAATTATATTTTAAGGCTTGAACACTCACGGATGACTTTGACTATTTGATCTCTAAGCATTAGTAACAATTTCATATATACAGAAGATATATATAGAATATACATATATAGAATACAGAAGAGTCACAAGTGTTTTTTTGCAATCTATACCTACGTTGTTGTTCCCTCAGAGACATTCGAGAATAAACCATCGTAAAAATAAACATTACATAATATTTTAGGGTCAAAATCGTAATAGCATAAATAGAGAAAGTATTGGGTAAATCGTGCAATTCGATCGTTAGTTGATAGCATCAATTAACAACTAATAGTACTGTTTTCAACTATAAAAGAGAAGTAGAAAAGAGTATTAAAATTAAAACAAATACTTTTATTCGCTATATTTTAAATGCATTTAACAAACTTCAATATTTACTAATTAGTTATGCGACATTGAAAGTATCATTTTTATGTATTATTTATTCAATTTGTTTTATACAATACGTAAATAAACACTTAGATTAATATTAAAAAAAAAGAATAAAAGTACTTACGACCAATACGACTAATTTGTTTTTAACTGATGGAAATTCCAACAATAAGAAGTACACAGTAAAGTGTAACGATACGTAGTTTGCGCGAGGTAAAATAAATAATTAGAACTTTTCTAATATAGTTTTGGCCCAGGTATTCCTGGTAGTGCCGCGGAGTGAATTCCGTACATCTTGGTCCCCGTCTATCGATTCCCGGTAGAACCAGTTTCGGAAACGATTTTAAAATGGTTTTTTGCTACTAGGTGTTCTTGGTAATACCGCGTAGTGTATTCTGTAGCTTTTGGTCCCAGGTTCATTTCCCGGTAGAATCAATTTGGGAAATGTACTTTTGTCTGTTCTGTTGCCAACCACCTGGTCTCAAACTAGGGAACCCCCTGTGCTCCTTATGAGTGCCAGAGAAACTGAATCCAAGCATAGGCATTACCAGAAACCCAGACCAAACCCAAGTTCCACGGGCAACCGAATTCACTCCACGGCACTACCCAGCCTAGGCCTTCTCTTCCAGAACACCTAAACCTTCTCATCAAGTACCATATTATTTGCATGTATATTGCACAAATTCCATACTTCACCATAGATTTATTTTTTATTTCGGCATATCTATATTGTCTAGTCTTTGTTAATTTTAAAAAGATGCAATGTAAATATAACGAAATAACTAATTTATAAAATCTAAAATATAAAAACAAAGTCAAATATATATATACAAATTAAATTTAACACAAACACAAGTGAAATTAATTAAAAACAGCAACTTTTGTGGCATAAACCCAGTCAAAAACACGCGCAGTCCACCCGTCGCAAAGCTTGAAAGGCGACTGAGCGTAGCGTAGTGGAAGGAATTATTTTTTTCAAATAATAACACTTATGAACTATAAGTTTAAAAAAAAATTAACAATACATTCTGTTTGAAATTAAATAATCTATTTTTTCGTGTAAATTTTATAAACAACGGATGTTTGCATGTAAAGAGAAATTGCTTTTTATTCAATTTGAAGGAAGTAACTGTAAATTTTATTTCGTAAAAAGAGCTTAATAAATTGTAGTTTTGCTCCATACATTCAATTATTTAAGGACTACTAGCAATCATATGGGGAACTGTATACGTTTTTACAATAAGATTCCGGAGCATATATTAAGTTTATCATTTCCTAAGTTTAAAAACTACATTAAAAATATTTTGATCGAAAAATCATATTACAAAATTGAAGACTACGTGTTAGATAAAGATGTATGGAAAGACGACATGGCTCCAGAATCCACACAAATTTGATTCAAAGTGTATTCCATAGCATTTAAGTTTATTTGAAAAGAGCAATCCCTAGAGTTTCTTGCTCGTTCTTCTCAGGGAGGTCAGCGTAGTGAACGAGCAGTAGCTTAAATGTGACGTTTTCAAGTGTAAATTTATTTTACCTATGGAATAAATAATCTTTGACTTTGACTTTGACTTCATATATTTTTTTGTGATTATTGGACAATTATTATTATCAGGAATTTAATTTAAAAAGAGCCTAATTCGTCAGTCTAGCATTTGTTCCAGACTTAAACGCTAGGACTCAAGCGTTTCGACAATTTATTTCTAAAACTTATTTTAACATCCAACCGCCATTTTCGGAAAATTGTCACGGTAACGTTGTTCTTGATAGTATGGATAAATATGAGTTCAATTTGATGTATACTGTTTAATTAAAAGCCTTATATACGTGGGGCGCACTATAAGTTTCCGGAATGAATAAGAAAAAAATACTATAAATGGTCAGAAATGAATTTATTGTTTCTCAAAATAATCTCCCTTAGCGTTAATACACTTTTTCTTACGAATGAACCAATTTTGAAAACATAATATATGCCACTCCTCCGTGACAATCTCTGAAACATATTTTTTCATAGTCTTCGACAGCCTCTTCCGATGATGAAAATCGTTGACCGCGTAACTGGTTCTTAATTTTTGGAAACAAATAAAAGTCACAAGGTGCCAGGTCGGGACTGTACGCGGGATGGCACATAAGGTCAACGTTGTTCACCTTCAAAAATTCATTTGTCTGTCTGGCTGTGTGAGAACTGGCATTATCATTCACACATTATGGTGCAAGATGATACGGCGTTTACGGTTATTTTTACGGAGTTTGTCATTAACTTCCGGCAAACAAATGGTCGTGTACCAATCACTATTCACGGTACAACGATTCTCCAAAGCAACGGTAAGCCGCGTGTCCAGTTTTATTAAAAAAAGAAACAATCGTCCGCTCAGAGGCACTTTGCACGTGCGCCACATTGGTTGGTTTCGACTCATCTCGAAAGACCCATACACTCGATTGCTTCTTTGTTTTGGGATCGTAACTATAAATCGTGTTTCGTCACCTGTTACTATATCCCACACCAAATTTGACGTCCCTTCGTTGAATCTGGTAAGCACGGCGTTGCACCAATTACGCTATCCGCTTTTTGAGCCTCGGTCAAACTGTGTCCACCGAGAACACAGCGTTTTCAACCCAAATGTTTGTGTAGTGACTCATGCCTATGCCTAAAGATGCCCGAATCTCATAGTATGTCACTTGCCTGTCTGTTTTCAGCACACGGCACACAGCATCGATGTTTTTGTTGTTCACAGCAGTGGATGGGCGATCATCGCGAAATTCGTCACTGAGATTCACACGACTGCGTTTGAATTCTGGAAACCAGCTACAAATAGTCTTGCTTGGTGCTTCATCGCCAAAATCAGATAGAAGCCGAGTGAAGCTCTACTGAGCTGTTATATTACACTTAGGGTCGTATTCTAGAACTCTACTCAATGCTTAAGTCAGGATTTGAGTATGGTTTAAAGCACTCGAAGTCATACTCAAGTCCCTTCCATTAGGGTCGTATTTCCAGTGCTTGAAATCAAACTCAGATCCTGACTTGAGCATTGAGTAGAGTTCTGGAATACGACTTTCAAAGTCGAAGAAAATCATACTACGAAAATTTTCACGAGTTAAATCCATGGTGATGTAGGCAACCAATTTCTAAAATGACGCCACAGTGTAAAAACAATTGACAGTCAGATAAAACAAACTGTATTCTACAACCATAGAGTTCCATTTTGAAGTGTTGTAATTACTTTTTAAATATTGTTTATGTAAGTGACCAGTTCCGGAAACTTATAGCGCGCCCTTAGTGCGCCCTATGTACACACAGTGTTAGGCGTTAATCAATTAAATTTCAATCAGATTAAAAAATCAATTCAATTGAAATCAATTGCAATTAATTTTTTTAGTTGTTCTAAGAAACAATAGAAACTAACAATTAAAGCCGAAAGTACCGAATAAAAGTGTCATTACGAATATGGGTTAGGGGCGTCACACACCGGTCGGTTCGAATAGGGGGTCGGTTGGGGGGTCTATTGGGGGTAGGTTGGGGGTTCGGTTGGGGGGCCGGTTGGGTTAGGCGGTCAGAGGTGAGTGACCCACCCCTAACCCAAACCCACTCACCCACCCCCTAACCGACCACCTAACCCACCCGCTGAACTACCCCCTAATCCACCCCTAACTCACCCCCTAACCCACCCTCTAACCCACCCCCATATGCCCTATAAATGTATCGTAATTATCAGTTTTAATTGTTAATTGTTAATCATAAACATTGAAAAGATTGAAAATTGATTAATTGTTAATTGTAGATATACGCGATTAACGATTGATTATTGATTAACAATTAATTAATTGTTAATTGCGGTTCTCGCAACTATCAAGTGATAAATCGTCAATTGCTGTTTCACAATTGACAGTTAATTAATTGTCAATCTTTAATTGCAAGAACAATTAAATTTTGCCCAACACTGTGCACACACGGCATATTTTTCACTCGCGAAGGACGCGCAAGTGACGCGCGTGAACGCGATTGCATACGTTCTTATTATGACTTATGACGACCTCGGTGGCCTTACTTTTTACATTGGGGGCACTGCATGCGGATGTCCCGGGTTCGATTCGCGGTAGGACCAATTTGGGAAATTAACTTTTCTGAATTGGTTCCGGTGTGGGTATTCCGGGAGGTGCCCCAGAATTCCGTTGTTCCGGTACTCATAATACAGGGAGTTCCCTAGTTTGAGACCAATTGCCTGGTCTGGTGGTGTGGTCTGGCACATATTATTATTGAGCTCCTACGGCCGTAAACGCGCGTTCATGATAGTCGCGTCGTCCGCACGTAAAAAATACACACATGTGCATAGACAGTAACTTCGCCCGAAATTTTCAATGAAGTGCATGCTGCAAAAGTTTGTCTTTTTTTCGCTGAAAGCTAACGGCAAATAAGTTACGAATTATGAGAATGCACTTTTTGATAATAAATGTATTAAAAAAACGTCACGAGTTTCATGTTATTGCAAACTCATGACCATTCACAGAACTTTCGTTTGCGGCTTGGCCTCATAGCATTATTTCGTGTGCAATAGCTTTTCCGAGACGAGACTCTTTGCTTTCCCCTACAGAATTGAGCGGTCTCGATCAGTCAGCCTGTCAACTGTCATGACGTATTTATATAAAGCCTTCTGTTAATACGTAAACACAGAAACATGTAATTTACAGAAATACAACATGTCAGGAGTACCTCTTTTGGCCAAAGGTGACTATTACGCTTTGGTCGTTCCTGGTCTTGGTGAGAAACGACCTTCACTGATGTTAGGTAAGTGTACATAAATTGATACCTACGTCATTCATTACGTTCTCTTGTCATTTATTAAAGTCTTTTTCTTAAGTACTGTACTTGAAAGAAAATAAAAGCAGCCACTGCCAGATTTTTCGTTTGAAGCCAATTAATTATGTCTTAGTAGAAACAGTAGAACAAGAGCAGCATTTCCTTCATGGAAAGCACCTACCTGCAGGTAGTCACCGTTCTGTTCTGCAACTATACTAAACGAACGAATTACCAGAATAAATAGCATTAAACTACAAACAGGACTAAACATTGTCTTTTCAATAACAAAGGGGCTTTAGTTTCTAAGAAGTAATAGGTTATATCTTCCGTGATTATTATTATTATTTATACATATATGTGTATTTATGTTTTTATTTAAGTGTCTATTTAATTTATTTTCATTTGTATAAGTGCAATAAGTGTATTAAATTCGTATATTTAGTGAGCGTTTGTTGCGCCTCTAATATGGAATAGATTGCTACCTAGCAACAAGGTCGTTTGTTGTACCTGTCTTTTGTTTTATATGTTCTAGAATGTAATAAAGAATATTTGTATTGTATTGATTACGATTTCTTTAGTAAAGGCTAAAATTTACGATATAAGATCCAACTTTTGGTAGTTTTACTGCAAATACAATACACACACAACCACTTTTTACGGCGATGCGCGGTGGAGCGTTTAGCGGGGCGTTCAAGGTTGCGCGTACGTTGTGTCTTGTGTCGTGTGTATCCAACACAAGACACATTGTATGCCCGCTGAACGCACCACCGTTCCGAATCTGCAGCCTAAATGCTAACAAGTTAGCAACAAGAATAGTAACTAACACAGAATAAATAAACGTTCTAGAGTCCATAGTAATGTCCCAGGGTTCATGAATATACTTATAGGACAATTTGTATAAGGATCGGCAACCATTTATACATATTTGGCAGATTACTCATGTGTACATTGATTTAAACTTTCACGATTTTCACACATATTTGATTTTAAATTCGGGACTTAATCGTGTATAAGAACATATTTTATTTACCTCGACGTTTCGGACGTATTGCAACGTCTATGGTTTCGAAGGGACTGAAGAGGCGAGTGTCAACATCTTCTAGCCGTGTGAGTTTTTGTAACCCGCACTTGGCCTTCAATCATTGTTTGTGCACTAGGGTTGTCACTACCGACACGCAGTTCTCACGATATCCGGCGACTTGCCAGGCGATATTTGATGTCGCTTACATTTGCTGATGGCTGCATCCACGACGATGAAACCTTAAAACCGTCTTTTCTGTTGAAATTTCGATGTTTTTTATTTTCAACAGCTTCACCTGCAATTCTACTATAGTAATGACGTTCTGTAGAAAGGATCTCGGGATTATGACGCTCAATCCGTTGGTTTAGTCTTGATTCCAGCATTTGCTGTTATTTAAGGTTATCTAATATTAATTCCCTTACAAAGACTAATTAAGAAAATATCACTGACTAATTAAATGTGCTGAAAAATTAAGTTTTTTTTTATAATAATAATATTTTATATAATTTATTTCGACTACATTTTTTAAGATCCAGTCTTATTAGTACACTTATGTAACTAAATTGATGTTAAATAGACACAAATAATGATTATTATTTTTGTAAAATGTTACAATTAGATATACTCGTATCGTATACGATAGACTCTCATGAGTCCATTTGATCAGGACCCAAATGAAAGACTTTATCATTCTTCATTGCATCAAATAATAACAAAATTACAGTTAAATTAAAGTAAAACATACATGAAATTTTTTATTGAATTTAATTTCCCAAAAAAATATTGATATTCAATTATTTTTTGTGAAATTATAGTTTTTGTGAAACTAGTTTGTTATGTTGGTAATGTTGGATCTTTGTATTAATAATTATATCAAACTAGTGGAGTAATTTCACAAAAAATAATTGAATATCAATTCAACAAAAATTTAATTAAAAGTTAATAGCGACATATCTAGCCAGGGCCGGTAGCTGTAAAGGTATTTAACTGGGTGACGATATACTTTCATAGAATTCTCATAGATGGCGCTAAGGCTAAAAGTCGTTGAAAAACCTAATACAAAAATCCAACAACAAGCACATTGAAAAATTCTTGAGGTCCGCTGATTCGTTCCGTGGCATAGGTGGCATAGCGTCAGCCATGGCTTGCTAGAAGACGTCGGTTCGAATCCGGCCGGATCGAAGAAATTTTTTCTGTTGATCTTTGTATTAATAATTAAAACATACATGTAAGTAACGCACATAATAAAAGGTATGACCAAACAGCTGTCGCTGGTTTTTAATTTCAATATTTTTTCAATAATAACTTGACAAAAGCTTTATTTATTTAAAATTATGTAGTGGGTATATATAGGGTTTGGTAGAATGAGAAATTGTGGTGCCAATATTGGTAATCCCATTGATAAAATTGATCAATGCTTGGCAAGATACATTTTTGTTATCAATCGTGTTTTTTTTGTATAGAGTAAACATAAAACATCCGTAATTCGTTTTATTTACCTTTTATTATATTATTACTCGTATTAAATAAACACAGTCAAATTATCTATGTTGCACTAAAAAACAATGCTTAATTGATAAGACACTTCTAACCAGTAGTATAAAAAGACTCAAATACAAAACTGCAAGTCATTGCTAGATTGCCACGAATGTCCTAGTTAGCCAACATACATGCAGTCCTTTTTGCTTCGTCATAGTCGAGTAAAAACTTGTAAAACACCTTTTAATGGTGCCCCTATTATGATTCACAGGTGACCTGGTGTTCCTAAAGCCGCAAGATAACGAAGAGTTAATGTTCGAGGCCATCGTCACTGACATGGCCGCCGAGAACATTGTCTACGTCAGTGGATTGCATCCTGAGTAAATACATTTATTCATTTACGTATAAAGTCTTTTGTAAGTTGATAGTGTATTAATTATTACATAAATAGGCGCCTTGTCGTCGAGTTGCGGACACCAGCCCGTGACACCAAGTACCAAGTAATTATTACATGACGAAATTTAAGCTTGCACAATTACAAACGGTTAAAGTATGAAATTGCTGTTCTACAAAGACAAAAAATGTATAAAAATGTCGTTATTTTTATCAAAATATACATCTATGGGATCAATCAACATCTTTCTGAAAGAAACTTCTTGCAAATTTAATTGGAAAAGGGCTTTTATTACGTAACCGTCGTGTCACATGTTGTTACGTCACGTCGACGTGTCCCTAATTGCAGCGTCACCATGCTCGAGACTTTAAAATTTGACTAGTCAAAAGTTCTAGTCACAATAAACTAGACTAGTCGGCCCGCCATTCAAAAGTTGTAAGGGTCTTTTACTGACCACGCTGAAATAAGCTTATTCCAGCGACACCTTTCCTTAATCTCGAGAACTAGAACTACAGGGCCTAGCAAAGATTTGATTGCACCCAAAAAAGTCGTGAATTAGTCTGTTCTAGTAACAAAATTTTAGAATTAGTGACTAGTCAAAAATTCGACCATGGTCACTCTTGAATCGGAGACGACACATCAAGTTTTATCTGTGCTTTAAAATATATTCACTCATCAAAGTGCACAGTATCCCTCAACATTTGATGACTTTGCGGGTCTGGGCATAGCCTCAATATCCCGTACGATAAATAATGGACGTGCGTAGCAATCGTTGTAGCATGGAAAATCAAATGCGTTTTCTTACAATCCTGTATAATGTATTTAACCTGTCAATTCGTGACTACAAACAATATCGTAACGTACAACTCCTTTAAGTTTGCTTCGAATAGGTATTGTAAGTCGATCATAATCTCAGTACAAAGTACTAACAAAACCGACCTCAAAAGGTCGTGGAATTACATCTATTTGCTAAGTATTATTGAAATCGTTGACCGGAAAGCGTGCGAATCCGGCACCCCTAGTTTGCCACCCTTAGAGATGGAATATTTTCTTCAAATTTAAATGGGACCGCTATTGAGATACCCTCTTTCCAACAAAAAAAAAAAGATCATCAAAATCGGTTCACAAATTTGCCGGAGTTGTCGCGTTCAAAGAGTCGAATTGAGAACCACCTTTTTTGAAGTCGGTTAAAAATATATTTATATTAAACAGTGATTTTTATTTTATTTATTTTTTTTTTTTCATTTTACATTTGTTGGATTTTGTATATCTTATGTGTATATTAAAGCATTGATGTTTATTTCAGTTTCAAGAAATTCTACCGTATAGACGGTCTATTTGACGTACGTTTCATCATGTCCCGTATGCCGCTCGAGCGCATGCACCAGGCCGTAAACTCGGTCGTCAAGGAAAGCGTCGACGTAAAACGGGTCTTCCCTCACGCAAACAAGAATATTGTGCAAGTTAAACCTATAAAGTAGTGAGTATATACATGTAATTTAAAGAGCAAATTATTTTAGGTCTCTCAATTATGGCGCTAGACTTTTAAACATTCCATTCAGTCTAATGACTTGTAATGAAGAGATAGGTTATTTGTTGTTCGGTCACATTGCGACGGTCCTTATTGTGGCTCCCACAGGTGTCGTCACGTCTGTCTAGTGATAGAGAAGGCATAACTTACGTATTACATCTTTTATGTGTTAATTTGTACTTACTGTTATATGCGTTTAGACACAAGTATAACTACAACACTTCCGCCTTAAATACACAACTGAACACAGACCTTTTTTAGAAAAGGAGTAAGTACCCTTTCGCTACAATTGCCAATAGGTCCTAAGTTGGTGACTGCTGGAAAGCGAACGTATATTTTCCCCATCGTCGTATGACAATTGATGTTATTGTAAATCTCAGATCGGGTATCAAGTTACACGCTTAGGGCCTGGTGAGCCAGCGTTCGTTTTCAAACTTAAAGTTATTGTCTATGATGCACGCTTTCAGCTATTACAACCCTAAAATCGAAACTAACGCTGAACAGCGTTTGGCGGTGGAACGCATCGTTAGTGGCACATCAGGTACTGCTCCTTTTCTCGTGCACGGTCCGCCCGGCACTGGCAAGACTGTTACCATCGTCGAGGCCATCCTGCAGGTAAAGTTTACTATAACACATATAAGACTCAATTTATATTGCGGCGGAACGGAATGGAAATGTATTTTTGCAAAATCTTCCGCGGAATTCTCGCGCATGCTCGAGAATGCTGCGCATTCCGCGGAGAATTCTGTCTCGTATCTAGTCTGTACGTTACACAATTGACGATAAATTTTGTACCGGGTTCGATTACCCAGTTTTATTTTCCCTACGATGATAAAAAAATCAAACAAAAAAAGAAATCTGAAAATTGAGTTAATTAAGTTAAGATAAAAAAAAATTACAATTTAAAATTTATATTTTGAAATAAAAAATGGTTACATAAGTTTATTACGGGTCGTGGTAACGTGCCTTAAGACTTTGGGTTTTCCGCTTCCGAGAATAGTACTCCCCTGTATATTTGCTGACGCAGAAGAAGGGCCACACAACGAGCAATTGGTAGCCGTTCAGCGGAAATGGTTCGTCCTAATCCGGATATAGTTAAGCTCCAGGTGTATGAACCCGAAGGAAGCTCAGCAAAGGTAGCTTTCAAACCCCAATGTAGTTTTCCAACTCGAAGGTGACTCCTGGAACGGATAACCAATTGGTAGTAATAGTCCCTTTGCCTCCGTTCTGAAAGTCCATCGACGGCAAAAGAAAATTAGGGAAGCACCTACGTAGTAGCAATTGCCAGTGGCGCGACCAGAACGGAGTTGCAGTTTAAAGTGTGTAAAAATCACAGACATATATCTAGATAGACGCCTCAAGTGTATGTACTTCGCGTGCCCAAAGTAAGTGAAATTCACTTACTTCGCGTGCCCAAAGTAAGTGAAATTCACTTACTTGCCGCTGCTACACTTCAGAACGCGCTCGACCGTTATCGTAGGTAAACAACAGTCGAAAACGCGAAAAATGCATAATTATGCCATTATTAACTGCAAAAGCACCATAACTGTGGGTAAACGGGTAAACAGGGACGTTTCCTTCCACGGGAAAGTGATTTTGTAATCAGAAGTTGCATAATTTATTTTAAAAACATTTATTTTGGTTTTGTACGATTTCGAGAAAACAAATATGCAACCGAGTGTATGTGTCATGATTTGTAATACATTGCGGCTTTTACTTGGTATTTTGGTATTTACTTGGTATTATATTGGTACAACAATGTTTCTAGTCGCATTTTAAATCAGTGAGCTCCGTAGTAATGCAAACTGTATCCGCACAATATGTTAAATTTGCTAACAGAAGCAAATTAACTATTGTATTTATCCAATTTTTGTATAAAAAGATTATATAGAAATTGGATAAACAACATAAACAATCAAATTTATCGCTATTGATTAAGCTGTTTATAAAGATAGATAATAGAAGACATAGAGTAGCTATTACTCTATTTTGGTCAGATAATGTATATTAAAAATTAAAGATTGAGAACCGGGAAAGATCTAGTATTAATATAAAAGAAGATCATTTTGGTTTGTTTTAACTTGCTTATTAATTGTGTTAAAGAGTAAATGTTATTGTAAAAAGAGAAATAGGTTTACAGCTCACAGCAAAGTTCACATAGAAATCAAAAAGTACGTATTTCTGAATTTAAATTATTAGAAATGATAATGGAAATTCAAATTATGCAACAATAAAGTCAAAATTATGTTCGAACAAAATTACAAAATTCCGAAAAATCTTTATGTGGCTATCTGGTTCAATATTGGATGGCAATGAAGTATCGGTCGACATTACATTTTGAACTCAGACTATCTGTTTAATTTTCACTTCAGCTAGTGAACAAAAATGCAAACAACCGCATAATGGTGTGCACGGATTCCAATATGGCAGCTGACCACGTGGGCACCGAGCTCATCAAATACACGCACATGCTCACACACCTCCCAAAGGGGCAGATGTTGTTGCGTGCGAACTCTAAATTCCGCGTATGGTTAGTATACCTGCATTAACTCAAATTAGTATTTTATTATTTTATATGAAGTATGTTTTTAATAACTAATTTCTTCTACACGTCATTTTCCTTATCGCATTATTTGGGGTCTTCGCAGTCTGTCTTCATCCATTTTCTTGTTTTCGTACAAAAATTAAAAATGCTGTCGATAACAAAAAGCTCAAAAAAATTGTAGTTTAACCATTTACTCTATGTAGAATTGACTACCTATTATTTAATTAACGATGTGGGTATGCAAATTATTATTGATATGTATGATTTAGGAGATAGCGGGTCATAACGGCACGGTGCTTTGGAGGGCTTGAGTAGAGGCATATCGACGCCCCTGACGAATAAACGTGTAAAAGTTATTACCTTTTTTTTCATTCTGTAAAGTTCTGTACTAAAAGTACGTATGTATGTACAGTTTATGTAGGTTTATATTCAGTCATATTTACGTTGTCGTCATTACTATTTATTTAAATCAATATACATATATAGCAATAATGTCCCGCACACTTACTTTATTCACCATGGCTAGGGTTGCCTGGAAGAGATCTCTTCTAGATATAAGCTCAACTTTATTTTATGGCCTTTGTAACATGTATTTTTTATTGCCATTTATTTGTGCAATAAAGATTTATATATACAAGTTTATACTAAATAAACCTACTAATATTTTTTACGAAAATAAAATAAATTTATTTTAATGTATGTAACTCTAATGTTTTTTTCTACGGACAATATAAATTATGCACGAATATAACTATAAATTGTCTTTAAATCAATACACGAATACTGTTTAGTACTGTAAACAACATACCCGACTTTAGCCTTATAATTATCAATTATTAGTAGAATTTTAATATGAGCGTTCTCTCGACAGCACTAATAAAAACGAATTTGTAAATTTAGGGAAACTTTACCGGAAAGCCTGATGAGCTACTCGAACGGCTACAACTACGACACGTTTACGCGGTTAACAATCCAAATCTTCAAGACGTACAAAATCGTCATCACTACGCTGTCCCATGCCGCCAAGTTCGCCAAGTAAGTTTAAAAAAATCACTTAGATATTTATTTTTATGTTCATGCCATGAAAATAAAAATAAATGACGGGATAATTCAATACTTAAAATATTTATGAACAGTACTGGACTACATAATTTATAGTCGTTAAAAAGCACATCTATACCGGTTTTAATTTTTTTATTTAATTGAAGCATATTCACTTGAGAACTCATCTTTGCATTTTTATTTAAACTTAAGTATTTTATACTTTTACAACGAAAAATTCACTGCAAACTTAAAACCTTGTTGTTTTTATCGTCTTATTTATTTAATATTATTAAATCAATAAAATGGTAGTTTAGATAATAGTTTTTTATTTAATACTGCAAAATTTTACTGACAGTACCAAAGCAAGGAAATTAACTCCGGGGTTTAACCCAGAAAAACCAAACTAGAACCAATTTTTTGAAAAGTATGAGTACACCAAATTGGTCCTACTAATCGAACTCTTTCCGGGGCCAAGTCCTTCATGGATACCACCGCTACACTGGGAGGCGCAGTGATTATGTGAGACTCTTACTCACTAAGGCGATTAACACACTGTACTGAGCGCGAGACGCGGGATCACGCGCGCAGTGGCGGAGACGCAGATCTGCGTCAATGCGCGGTTTAATCCGCGCGGGGGCAGCGGTCTAGCGGCCCCGCGTCACTTAAAGTACTCGCTTCGCACGTGATCGCCGTAGTGATTATACATGTAGCTGAGATCCTTCTTTGACAAGAATGGTTAATAATACAAAACTCATTCAGGACGCTGCAGTTATACTGTATATTTGATTTTTGTTTACTCAAAGTGCTCCGTCGCGGTCCGCGGTGCAGTGTGATAATCGCCTAAGTGCATCCGCCCACTCCGCATGTGACGGGTCTATGGCGAGATATCTTACGATCCATGACCCCATCTGCGGCTGTCCCGTCAGCACGGACCCACCCCCGGATTATCATTACATCTCCGTCCATCTTTAGTGCGCCAGCAATCCCGTGAACCCTTATTCACCGAAAATCGAACCTGGGACAACCTTATCTAGCGTCCACGATCTAACTGCTGGCTATCTAGGTCGTCAATATATATTATCAGTTTCATATTTCCCAATTTGTATAACAGAGAGTTACGAATAAAGCGCTTGAAGCGTCCAATCACGCATCTGTTTATCGACGAGGCAGCCCAAGCGAGCGAGCCTGCCTGCCTCATCCCTATTTGTGGTCTGCTGTCACCCAACGGAGCCTTAGTACTTGCCGGGGATCCGTTGCAACTTGGACCTGTTATCATTTCACATAATGCTCGAAGACTTGGTCTAGGTACCTATTCTGCCTTCCTTATCATAAATAACGTATCGCCATTTTTAGCGGAATTGAGTTATTAACATATCTGGAATCAGTGGAACGAGACTTACAACCCCCTATAAGCGGTTTTTTTTTTGTTTAGTTTCAGTTTATTGTTAAGCAAAATTACCGAAAATTTAAAATTTTGTTAATGTCAATTAACATTTCCGTCCATTACATTTTCACAGAAAAAAAGTTAGATGCTAATGTCTCTAAAGTAAAGTTAATTTAATATAGATAATACTATTTATAACAATTAATTAATAAATATATGTATAAATAGTAATAAAAAATCCACGTTAATCAATTATGTTCAAATCTAAAATGTATCATAATTTGAAGTGTAATTTGCTACACCCTTACGGGGTATTTTGGAGGCATGCAGGGTGAGGTGGCTAGGGTGGTGATTATATTAACACTGTACTAGCTTCCTTCACGTTTGAATTCCATTTTACATCAGTTGAAATAGAGTCATCTGCCTGTCATGTATAAAAAAAATGTACCTACTTAAATAGTCCTAACTAAATCTGTACCACCTATTCATGTGAAATGCAAAATAAATAAATAAGTTACCAAAATGCAAATGCGTTAGTTATGACAAGGAGGGCAATATTACATAGTTATGTTATAGTTGAAGAAATATTATTTGCACTGATGAATCTGATGATGATGAATCTCTTGGAACGACTTATCCTTTCTATCCTGTAGTGTAGAGTAATAAAACCATTAACACCTCTTTTACTTAAAACGTACATGGACTTTAATGATCGTGTTCCATCGTACGAGTCATGGGTGCGTTAAATGCTTTTTGTGCATTCTAGATTTGAATTATTTATTCATCAGGTTGTTTTTTAAACTACTAGGTACTTCGTAAAATACCGACTGACGACTTTGTTCTTACAAATTCAACAAAGTTAGTTACGCATAAAGATTACCAAGCTTAGAATCAAGTGCCAATGCGTAAAAGTGTTTAAACTAGTTGTTTGCACTATAGCAGAGGTCGGCCTTTGAGTTGGAAGAGCTAAAAATTACAATTTATTTATTTAATAGTTTATTGTACAGGAAAAATACGACTTACTTTATTTTTTCTGTACACAATGAATACAAGGAAAATTAAAACAAAAGGTTCTCCTTATTTCTAATAGAAATTTCTTCCTGCATACGTCCACAAAAAAGCAAAAAAAGGTAATATAAAAATTATAACAATAAATTTATGTTGTTATGAATTATATAAATACTTAGATAAATACATATTTTATAATATAATAAATAAGATATGGATGGAATAGCAGATAAATAATGCACTTTAACTCTCACTTTAAAATAGCTAACGATTTACTTTCGTGAACAGTAATAGGAAGTGCATTCCAAGCCTGACCGCATGAACAGTGAAGGAATAAGAACAGAAAGCGCAATCATCAATCATGGAAAAGATAACTGGGATCTAACAAGAGGGCGACACAGGATTATGTAAAATATTATAAAGAATGAACACAATGTGCAAATTCCTGCGGAGACGGATGGGAAGCCATTTGAGCTGACTGCGGAAATGTGAAATTATTTACGAAGCCCAAAGATGAATGTATAAAGATACATAGGTTTTGCAGTCGTTCTAGCTTATTTAGCAGCTCTTTAGAAGCATCCAAATAGCAGGAATCGGCATAGTCTAAGAAGGGCAAAATAAGAGTTTGGACTAAACATATCTTGGTTTTTAAAGGAAAAACGTTTTGGAGGCGCTTAAGTGAGTGCAAGGAGAAATGGACTTTGCGACTGACTTTATTAATATGTAGAGTCTAAACCAAATTACTATCTAAAAGCAAGCCGAGATTCTACAGACAGAATCTAGATCCAATAACCCACGCATATGCCCACTTCCCACAATCATAGCCTACGACTTTTTGGGATTCACCAATAAACCAAAAGACTCGCCCAATGAGCGATGCTTCGTAAATCAGCATTAAGCGCTTCAACGGCCGTAACGAAATCAGACGCTTTAAAACTACGGTAAAGATGCAAATCGTCAGCACAGAGATGAAAGTTTGAAGAGGGCACAAAAGTGACAGACTTAATGAAAACAGAGAAGAGGAGAGGGGAAAGAACATCACCCTGAGGAACTCCCGCAGCTAAGTCGCGCCAATCAGAGGAAACCTCATCTGAGCTAATACACTACAAGCGGCCTCTAAGGTAGGAGTCGAACCAAGTATAACCCAGGGGTTCCCAAACTTATTTTGTTCACTGCCCACTTTGAGAAAGAATTATTTTTTAGCGCCCCCTTTTTTTCACCTACTTAAAAACCACTATAACTTCAAATTAAATTAATTATTGTATTAATATAATTTAATTGTTTAATATACATATACAGGGTGTCCGGTAATGAATGTATCATACTGAAATGGCTTATAGCACAGCTTAAGACTGTTCCAAAAAAAATGCAAAAAAAATCGATCCCGGGCTATAACAAAAGACGGGCGGAATGTGGCTATCGTGCAGGTGGCAAATAACGGTCCCACGTGGTACTTTAAAGACAACAATTGAAAAATTACTTTGATTGGATTTTTGCATAATTTTGCTGTAAATAAGTTTTAAATAAAATTTTATTAATGCCTAATATTATTTTTTATCAAAACTCAATAGTCAAGAACAATTCAGGATAAGAAATGTTCCAATTTTGCAAACATAGTTTTTTAGTAAAATTTACTCCGTTTGCACATTAATAGCAATAATTTCATATTTACATTAGATACAATGAGAAATGATACCATTTTGAAATCCTCATTAAACCTACTTTATTTTAAAGTACTTGGCCACACAGCTTATCATACTTTTTTTTTATACAGAAGGCGCGTAAACTTCGTAAAAAATAAATTATTTCTCTGAAAAATGAAGTTAAACTTTTTTTTTTAAAAATGTACATTACTTAGTCATACCATTTAATGCTTATCTAAGGACACAGTTACCGTAAAATATTATGACACCAAAAAACCAAATAAATTCATTCATTTGTAGTCATAGTGCACAAAAACCTAAAATAAGATAAAAATAATTAACTTTCAAGAAAAAAAACATTCCTTAGGTACTACATGGGATAGATTTTTTTTTGCATTTTTTTGGAACAGTCTTGAGCTGTGCTATAACCCATTTCAGTATGATACATTCATTACCGGACACCCTGTATATATTAGCGGAGATTAAACATTCATTCTAAACGAAACTTTTACTATAACCTGCAAGAGTTAACTTGAGACCTGAGCGCATTAGCTAGTAAGTACACAACGGCGTTCAGGTCTCAAGTTAACTCTTACGGGCTACACCTGCCAATGAGAATGATTATTGAAACGCAACTTTATATTATTCAGACAGAGTATATTTTATTCAAAATAAATCAAACATAATCGATTCTAATATAAAAACTAAGTGAAGGATAAATCTGATGCTATTTAATAAGTTTGTTGATATCAGGTTCCAATTTACACAAGAACAGCCACAAGTCACCACGTTCGGTAACATGCAAACGATTTTTCTTTTTAGTAAGCAGCGTTGTCACAGCATTAAAACCACGTTCACACAAATATGACGATGGGAATGCTATCAAGAATCTTTGAACGATTGATCACTATCCAGGGTACGATTGCGGGATCGGTTTTTGTAGCCAAAATTCTTGGTAGCCATTTTTGAACTTGATTTTTATTTCCTCGTTTGTTGTCAATTCTCTAAGTTCTTCTTCCAGCTGAGGTGATATTGCTGTGTTGACATTTGAAAACGGATCCAACACCCAGTCTGGTATTTCCATGTTCAAAATGTCCTGGTATCGTTCGGTGAAGTCATGTGGAGATTTTCCAAATGTTGGCAGTAGGCAAACAAGTCGTCGTTACTGCAGGATCTAATAAATTCGGAAAATTATAAAACTCACGTCTGCCCGTATTCTTTTTGTGTAGAAGCAGTTTGGCTGCGAAAGCAGCAACGACGTTTTTGTTTTAATTAAATTTAGTTCATCGCCTTGCAGTTTGAGATTCATGTCGTTGATCAATTTATACAGGTCTGTCATGTAAGCTATATCATTCTTTGATGTAATGCGCGCAATTCTGTATCTTTAGTTTCCAAGAACTCTATCACAGAGTCAAACAGGTTGTAAAATCGAGTCAGACAATTGCCTCTTGATAGCCAACGAACTTCAGTATGAAACAACATACGGTTGAAATCTTCGTCATTAGTAACACAAAGCTGATGAAATAATCTATCATTCAAAGAGCTGTTACGGATTTTATTGACTGCTTTGATGACATATTGCAATGTTTGAAATAGTCGTTCACTTAAATTTTTAGCAATCAAATGTTGTCTATGAATAACGCAATGTACAGCAAGGACATCTGGAATTTTATTTTTTAAGGTCACTATGAAGCCTTTATGGCACCCTGTCATAGCCGGAGCGCCATCCGTAGCAACTGATATAATACTTTTCAAGGGACTCTCTCATTTTCCAATGTATTGAATATGGTTTCGCCTTTTGTATCGGTCTCTAAATTTTGTAGCAAACAATAGTTCTTCACATATTTTCTCATCTTTAATAAACCTCACGTAAGACAGCAACAGTGCTTCATTAGTTGGTAAAGTGGAATCATCAAGCTGAATTGAGAATTGACTAGTCCTCAGATGATTGCACAATGATTCTTCAATGTTTTCAGCCATTTCATCAATTCGTCTTTGCACAGAATTATTACTTCCTTTATTGCTGACAAAATTAACTCTTCTGTGATGTTGCGTGGTTTGCCTTTTTGATCAATTAACAAAGAGATAAGTATTGTACGAAGCTCGAAGTCCGTCGTCATCTTGCTTAGCAGCCGCTGAAAAGAGTTTTGCTACACTTGGCTGAGTATTATGCTTCTTCTCTAGGTCTTGAAAATATGCTACATTCTTGTCTCTCTTATCTGGGTGCATTTTATTCAAATGATCTTGCAGTCTTGAAGGCTTCATTGCTTCATTCCAAAATGTTTTAAAAAGGCGATGATGAGTTTGAGGGATTTTCAATGAATCCGAATTTAATATATTCCGCACAGTATTGCCGTCTCTTCTTTTTTACTTCCGACATTGATTTGAGAAATACGTAAGTAAGTGTTGAACTTAAATACTGCTTATCTATTACGCGCGAAACCGCAAATGAAAATAAAATAAATATAACGTTGTTTATATAGGATTGCATAAGCAGCACGCACCGACGGGAATAAGACAAAGATGCATAAACTCGTTTATCTCATTCGACGCTCAATCGTACTCAACAAGTAAGAACAAGTATTCTGTGAACCAGCCGATTGATACAGGAATGCACAAATCGGGTTATTTAACAAAAACTTATTAAAACATGATTGCCCGCGGTCTATTATCTACGATAATTACCTATCTAGGTATACTAATAACTATTAAAATGCGAAACTGTGTCTGTTGCCTTTTTATTTGTTTGTTTGTGTCTACTTTCATTTCGAAACGGAGCGACCGATTGACATGATTTTTATTTTATTTATTCAATAAGGCAGGACAGAACTGCACGGAGAGAAATATCGAACCGAGTTAGTTTGAGCAATCTCTTAATTTATATTAGTTGATGCTCACAAGTTGTTACTTACAAATCCCCTAAGCCTCTACACAACGCCCCCATTTTTTTTTCTGGGTCTCTTACCGCCCCCCGTTAGGCCTGCAGCGCCCACAAGGGGCGTTGTCGCCCACTTTGGGAAAGGCTGCTATAACCGAAGGAGAAATATTAAAAGAGCGAAGAGAAAGAAGCAAGCAATACGTCAAAGTCGACAGAGTTGACTGCTGAAGTCCAGAAGTATAAGCAAAGTGAGCAGACCATTGTCTATTGCGAGGCGAATATCATCTGTTACCTTCAACAGTACTGTCACAGTGCTATGGCCAGAACGAAAACCTGACTGAAACGGGGAAAGCAACTTATTAGATGAAAGATACAACATTAACTGCTTGTTGACAACGTGTTCGAGGACTTTGGATAGAAAAGGGAGAATGGAAATGGGACGGAATTCGGAAAGGCAAGTAGGGTTAGACGTTTTGGGTAAAGGTATAATATGAGCGAGTTTCCATTAAGAAGGGAAAGAACTAGCTTTTAAAGAGAAGTTAAAAACATGAGTAAGGATAGGGATGTGTTCAGGGAGTATGAGGCTAATCATACGGGAACTGAGATCATCATTGCCAACAGCAGTAGAAGAAAAGAGAGAATATGAGTTTTCACTTCACATTCGGTAACAGTCCGGAAGGGGAAAGAGGTACATGTCGGTAAAGTACAGTCAGCCAAAACGCGAAGGGTAGCGCTTTTAAGATGCTTATTCAAAGCAACAGGGGGTAGGGAAAAATGTCTATTAAGCACGTTAAAATCAGGAAGCGACGAATCACCACCAGAAGCTGGGGAACGACCAATCCCAATGGACTTTAGGAATTTCCAGATCTGGGTGGAATAGCATTTCTCAACGTTATCGTGAATGTGGCGTCTCTTAGCATCTCTACACACGCGACTATAGCGATTACGCAGAAATTTAAAGCGAGGTAGGTTGTCATCTGTAGGAAGCCTCTTCCAGTGTCGTTTCGCCTTATCTCTGAGAGCCATGGCGATCTTAATATCTTGTGATAACCAGCGGGCAAGTGCGTATCTAATTTTAACCCGTTTTAAAGGCGCATGACGATCATACAGCCCGAATACAATTTCATTGAGCAAAGCTACCTTCTGATCAATACCTACGGAATCGAACAAATAAATATAATATAAAATAATAAAAAAAAATATATATAATATTACCCGCTTCACTCTTGAGCGCCTCCAAATCAATGGCCTTGAAATTTCGGAGAATACGAAAATTCGACTTACACTTAGGAAAACGAATTTTATACGAGAGAAATAGAAGGTCATGATAAGAAAATACAGAAGAGAACTGTCCATGGGAAACACAATGCTTAGGGACGAGACTATCATATGATCAAGAAGAGATGGAATACAGTTGGGAAAATGATGAGTAGCAGACATTGTAAAATATGCAAGTTGACAGAAGAAATTAGAGAAAGTAATTTATGGGCACAAGTGTCATTTTTTGGCAAACACCTGTTAAAGTCACCCATTAAAATAGTGTGATCAAAGGAAGGAGAATAGTTGGAGAGTAGACACTCAAGGCATTGAAAGTAGTCAATGTTAAAGGAGGGGCTATAAAAAAACTGCAAGAAGCACTTTCTTGTGATGCAAGGAAATGTATAAAAATAGATGCTCCGCGGAGTTTGAATATAAGCTAAGAGAAGCATCAACAACATGTTGAATGTCAGCTCGCAGTTATACAGCCACCCCTCCACCAGTTTTACCCGTCCGGTAATACCGAACTAGCTTGAACTCGGGAAGACTGAAATGAGTACAAGGAGAGAAGAGGTTTTGGAAAAGTTTCTGATATAAGAATAGCGTCAACAGGAGAATCTATGAAAGAAGCAAGAAGGTCAGAATAGTGAGAAGGGACGCTCTGAGCATTGATATGAACAACATTGAAATTTTTGGGGAAATTGCAGAAAGCTGAAGATAACTGATTTTTTTGAATAATTTACAAAATTGCACAGTTTTTAAAGAGGAACTAAATATTGTTTTGCCATATTATAACAGTGCTTGCTTATATTTACATATAAAGGTATTTCATTTTGATTTAAAATAAAAAACATGAAAATAAGAAATAGTATCTATTTATTCATACATAGTATTTTTTTCACAACAAATAAAAGTATTTGACTAGAAAATTATACTAATTAAATAATATAACTATAGAATTGAGTAGTAAATCAATGAGGGATTGGCTTTTATTGCCTTTTCAAAGTTTGGATAAATTTAGCTCATAAAACAACTGTTTTAACACGGCTAGATATTCATTTGTTAGTTGGCTTCTTACGTTACTTTGATTTGAATATTTGCGTAATGAACTAAAGAGCTGCATGAGGCTAGCAAGCATCTGGTTACCGACCCTTGCACTATACAGATGGCACGTGCGTTACCGAGACGGATCACTCTTTTGTCCTGTTATACTCTAAAGATGAAGCGATAAGAAGAATCGATGCAAATAATATTTCGCCAACTATACACTTGTGCTTTATTTAATCGTCTAGTGGTTAATGGAAACTTTATAATCACGCTATTCAAATCAGGAAATTCCTTTCCGATTTATTTTATTACAACTTACTTCTTGCTTTTGTACATATTTTTCGCTAGTTTGGCTGTTAAGATTATTTTAATCTTGATTATACTGTAAGTACCAAAATTACATTAGAGATACACCCTTGAGGGTCTACCCAGACCCGAATCAATTTTGAAAATGACAGTTTGAAGTTTGTTTGAAGTTGTGAGTTTGACAGTTGAAAATGATATTAAATACTTGAACATCTGTCCTTTCATATATAATCTTTAAGAAACTAACGAAACCGGAAGAATATTCCATGGTCGTAATTGGAGGTATATTAGCTAACCTTACGGTAAGTTTGATTAAAAGCAAGATTTCAAGTTTCAACTTGTATATATATACATGTAAAGTGTTAATTTGTATATGTATTTTACTTTATACTACAAATAAATACCCCTTTTGACACACAACATGATTTACTTAAAAATATAAATGTATAACAAATGAAACGATTTTTCCGGATTTAAATCCCGTATATTTATTTTTTTCAAACAAACCGACGTTTCGCGGCGTTTCAAATACACGCGATTTAAATCCGGAAAAATAGTTTCATTTCCTATGTGTAACAATCGCGAAAACCTAAGAACTCGAAATATAAATGTATTTAAATTAATCTAACGTTCAATAGGGCTATCCCTAATGGAGCGTTTGAAGACAAATTGTGAGCTGTACAGCGCCGAGCGCAACGACGATAACTACATGGTGATGCTAAAGAACAACTTCCGATCTCACGCTGACATCCTGCACATCCCCAGTGAGCTATTCTATATGAAACAATTGAGGGTAAGTCTTGTTAAGACTAGGTACAATGCGTTTTATAATATTTGTCACCTTATATTTTTTACATTATTATATACCTTATATTATTTATAATGTTTTCAGACAACAGACAACAATTTTCTAGAATTTGAAGTCGTATATTTTTTTATGATGCCTTTTGAAGTGCCAATGAATGTAGTTGTGTATTGATCTAAGATTTATATTTGTTCTCATCCTCACTAACTGACGTATTCGCCGTGACTTGCCTTATATTTTTTTCGTAATTGAAGTCAGACAACTACAACCGTATTGTAAGCATATCGTGTAGAAGACGCCTTGACGTACAGATGATCTCGGGGATTGTGAACTTTTAAATAGTTTGATAGTAATGAAACATATTAATTATACATATATCTTGCCTTAATTTTTTTCAACGAATTTAATAAACGACTTAGTAATATATAATATGTATTATCTCTGGTAACAAATTACAAAGTAAATTGGTAAAACAAATCAACACCAACATTGATAAAACGTATTAACACCAAATTATAACGTGAAAATTTCCTAATCTCGAGTACCCCGACATAAAGTGTTTTATAGATATTAAACAAAACGGCTAAAGCCGTTTTTCTGAGTATTCGATCTTTATATTAATAATTATAACAAACTAGTGTAATAATTTCACAAAAAATAATTGAATATCAATTCAATAAAAATTTAAAATGGCTCAAGGTTACGCTCTTCTAGCGTGTAGATAGAAAGAAACGGGGATAAATTAAATTTTTTTTTTTTAGATTTTATGGATATTATTGATATATATGGTATCTCCATTATTTATTTATTTATTATTTTAATTGTGTATCTCCGCTACAGATATATGTATAAGCAAGTGTTAAATTGTTATAGCGACATCGCTTTGGTAATACGTGGAACAAGTAAACCAATATAAACCACGTACCTACCTTTCTTAAAAATTCGTTCTGCGAGATTTATATATGTATTAGTAGCGTAATGTTTGTTTTACTGTAACATCATCATTAGTGGTATACCTCTATATTTGGCTTTGTGTATTTTTGATAGGTGTTGGCTAACGAAGACCCATTAAGCCGCACTGACATTTTGTGTGAGAGAGCACAGAGCCGGGCTATCGTGTTCCACGGTGTGCTCTCCAAAGAACAACGGATGGGCAAATCTCCCAGGTACGTACAAATTAACTACAACAAAAGTAGGACTATCCAACAAGTAAAGCAAGCAGTAGGCAGCTATAAATCTTTTACAACAAATAACATACATGTATGTATATACAACAAATGATGAACGAACAACTATTTAATTAATACATCAATACAACGGTCTTTCATCAAACTTAAAATGTACGGAAGGTAGTAAAAACACTGTCAAAATTTACATAAAAAACTTGACAATTTGTACGAAAATTAAAAATTGTAATTGATTAGTTCAATAATAAGTTTGTGCGATAATTATCTTGACTGAAACTCATTATCAGTGGTCGGAAAAAGTTGTTCCACATGTATAGACATAGTTACACAGAGCGATATAAAGTTGTTAAAACCACCAAATATTAATTAATTACTTTTTCGATATATATGTGTATATATATATATAAATACAAAATACATATACGCAAATTTTATAAATCTGAAGTTAATTCTAGTAATGTAAGCTATTGTCATGTCATGCAGAAGTAAAAATAAAAAATAATAATATAATAAATTCATGTCATTGCAGGTCACATCAATTATACTTACAGTCAAAGTTGAAGAGCTTTATATGAAAAGAAATCTGTAATAGAGTAGAAATTTTTATCTCTCAGCCATGACATCAGCTTACGTTTAAATAAATGATTACTATTTATATCTTTTATATTAGAGGGTAAAGTATTATATATTTTCACACACATGGCTCCACATTGTCTCTGGTAGTAACTTTTTTTGGTACTACTGTGATTTACTAATCTGTCTGGGTGTTTTATATTTCTGTTGTGAACGTCACGTGTCCTTTTAAAAAGTTTATAATTATTTTTGACAAAATTAGACACCTCAAAAATGTACATACAAGACAGTGGTAGTGTGTTAAGAGTTTTGAACAAAGGTATACACGATTCACGAGGTCCCAAGCCACCTATTGCCCGTACACGTTTTTTTTGTACTACAAATAATTTATTTGCATCCGTCGAATTCCCCGTATACTACAAGCCCATATCGAAGCATGGAGGCAACGTAGCCATGATAGGCAACTAAAGTAGTAGACATAGCGGAAGTGTCACGTAGTCTCCTTAGAACATAAACATAGCGATTTAAACTATTAATTACTGACTCAATATGTATCTTCCATTCAAACTTGTTATCAATTATAACACCTAGAAATTTAGTTCGCTCTACTTCTTCTAAAGTTTGTCCATTGTAATTTATATTTAGTTTCAACTTTTTGTGTCTAACCGTCCCGAATTGAATAAAATTTGTCTTGTTAAAATTCGCTGTCAAATTATTTTTATTTAGCCAATTAATTATTAGTGCAATTGTATTGTTAATGTCAAATTCATACTTTTTTATATTTTCCTTATACGGTATAATTATGGATAACTCATCCGCGAATAAAATGCATTTATGGCACGTTACATCAGGCAGGTCGTTTATGTAAAGTAGGAAAAGTAGTGGTCCAAGCACGCTACCTTGAGGCACGCCGTATGCATTGACTCTATATAAGGACCTATTGGAAACCACGTGAGAATCCTTACTCAGAGTCCTAATTTCCACCGCTTGCCTCCTATTACAGAGATAAGATGCCAACCACTCCCGAGCCAATCCTCTAATACCAAGATTTTCTAATTTTTGGAGAAGTAAGTCATGGGATACGAAGTCAAATGCGCGGGTCATATCAAAGAATATACCAGTTGTAGGAAACCAAATTGTTCTGATTTTATCAAGTTGTATTTGGAAGCAAAGTCTAGAAGCCTCATTTTCATTGCTTTCTCAAATACTTTGGAAAGCACTGGAACTAATGCTATGGGACGGTAATTGGCCATGTCAGTTTTTGTACCCTTTTTATGTATAGGGTTAATAATTGACATTTAAGCAAATCTGGGAAGGTGCCAAGTTCAAATGACAAATTAATTAGATAAGTGAGGGGTACGGTCAGCTTGGTCAGTTGCACAATATTTGACAACTCGAGTCGATATATCATCATATCCTGTTGAATTTGTACTATTTAATGATTTCATTATATTATGTATTTCTTTGAAATCCAAAGGTTGGATATAAATACTATTGGACAAGTGAATTTTATTTGTGTTTTGTGTTATTTTTTTGTTTAAGTGAGTTAAGTTAATTAGATAATTATTAAATTCATTAGCTATGCAGACAGGGTCAGTTATAGTACTATCATTTATTATAATTTCATTTATAAATTGATCACTATTAATATTATTAAACTCGTTTTTCACAATTTTCCAAGATGTTTTTGCTTTACTTTTTGCATTTTTTATAAGTTTGTCGTTGTGTAACTTTTGAGCTGCGTCTAAACATTTGCGTAGTATTTTTGAGTACAACCGATATTGTTGTTTTTTAATGTCTGACTTTACGGTGTAATATTGATAACGCAATGTTGTCTTAGTTTTACAGCTTTTTCTGACACCTTTAGTGATCCATTTTGGTTTTTTATAGTTATTGGAAACTTTAATTAATTTACAGGGAAAGTTGAGATTATGCAATAAGGTTAAGGTGTCATGGAAATTTTGCTTGGCTTTATTTATATCGCGCTCCTTTAATATCTCTACGAAAGACAATTCTTTTAAGTAGTTACGAAATCTCTCTAGATTTTAACTACTATAATCTCGGACCATTAAATAATATTCAATAGGCTGAACAATTTTTTTACTGACCGGTATGAGTATGATTTGCGCCGTATTCTGATCAGACAGTTATAAATGATTTAATTCAGCAGTAGCCTCGTCAACGTTACTAAGTAAATGGTCAATGCAAGTATTAAGTCTAGTAGGTTCAGTAATGTGTATTGTCAAATTGTAGTTTTTTAATATGTCCAAGAAAACCGTAACGTTTTTTGATACTTTAGTATCTAGAGTATTTAGTATTTAGAGTATATAGTGTTTAGGTCACCAGCTAGAATTACTTTACTTTTAGTCTTCTTTGTAAATCGGTGTAATATGTCATCCAATTTTGATAAAAAAAAGTTTTATATCTGACTTAGGAGCTCTATAAACACATATTATGTATATATTATGACGCAGTATTTTTACACCGCAACATTCAAATATTGAATACTGAGCATAGCTTTTAAGTTCATCTCGCCTTTGAAACTTAAGTTTATTGCTTATTAGTATACAAGTTCCACCTCTACTTTTCCTATTTTGCCTGCAATAAGTTGTGGCTAGGTCATAACCTTTTATAATTATACGGCTTTCGTTACCTACTCGAATCATTGTTTCAGATAAACAAATAATGTCCGGACCCTTTTCATTTGAGTGTAACTCAGAAATTGCAACATCCAATAATGCTTTTTTAGATACATATCCACCTATATTTTGGTGCAACAATCTTAAGTGATTACATATTATATTATTAACGAAAAAATTTTTTATTCTGGTCTGGATAACTAAAGTTAGTAGAGTTTTCGACTGTATTGTCACAATCGTTCAGAAATGTGTCATTTATGCAATTTAAGTAATAATAATAATAATAATAATGTGTGTTTCACATATTAAATCATTTAAATTTTGAGTTATAACTTTATACCCAACGTTGTTCACAAAACCACTCCTTGCAGTAAACATTCTTGAAGAGTATTCTAAGTTTTTGTTGCTATCTAACAAATAAACATATTCATGACACTTATTATCCCGATACAACAGATTGTTAAATGTTTCCACCCGTTTATTGTACAGAGTTTTTTCAAATTTGTAAGTAGGCAAACAGATTATGGTATTTGTATGTTGCACTTTTTGTAGCGTTTTTCGAATATCTGCAACTAAATCTGAATACTTCTTCGTCACTTTAAAGTCAGCTTCACCTATAAATATGATACAATAGTCATCGAAGTTAAATTCGAGTAGCTTATTTTCTATGCCTTTCAGAAGCTGTCTTGTACCAGCCCCTGATGTAATATAATGACAGATCTCCATGTGGTTAATCATACCTTTCGTAAATTGTAAAATTTTATTTCTAGAATTACTACTTATAATACATAACTTTCTTGTTTGTTGTACATTATTATTAACATTTTTTATTTTTGAGTTTTCGTCGTTCATTTCTGTTTCACTTTTCTTTTGAATATTTTCAGTATTTAGTGACTGTAGTAACTGGACATCATGATCTTTTTTTTCGATTTCCGTTTGTTCTGTAATGGAATAATCCGTATTAGAGAATTCCAAGACCCGTTTTTTTAGTGAGCTTCGCTGGATTTTACTTGTAGATACTTTTTTCATAGAGGAACATATTTGTGTCAAAGCTTTATTGAGTGATTCTAATTTTACGACTCGATTTTTTAATGCATGATTTTCGGAGAGTACATTTTTAATTTCTTCATCCGCAGATTCTATTTCTAATTGAAGTTTGTAGTTCATCTCTTTTAATTCCTCTGACTGTTCTCTTCCATTTAATTGCACCTCCGGACAACTGCGGTTGAGTTTAGTAGAGTTAGTTGATAGATCAGAGAAATCATCCTCGGATAGCGAATCCAAAGAATTACATGTCGGAATGTTTACTCTATACTTACGATCTGTAACAAAGCTTGGCGTTTTCGTTAGAGATTTTTCCTCGTTAGAGTGCATTTGTTCCCAACATTGATTGCATTTCCAAATCTGTTTTCGACTTGGACTCATCAGGTGGAATCTAGAGGATGTGACATTTGCACATGGTAGATGGAAGAGCTTTTTGCAAGTCGAGCAGCTTATAAATCTACGACCTTCAATTACAATATTACATTTTGCACAAGTTGCCATAGCAAAGTGGTACAACAGTCTCCCTCTAGCGGACTTGGGCGTTGTGATAAGTTGATGAACGGGTGCTGCCCTCTCTTAGAGAAATATGTCTCTAATTCTATTTATACCTTAAATACCGCTACTTGTCGCATGGCGCTAAATAAATTTATTACGCCCCTTGGGTTTGAACGCAAAGTGATTGACAACCGTGTCTCACTGTGAAACCACTAATCCATCGCGCATATGACGTCACAATCGTAAATTATGAGAGTCTTTCTTCGTATTAGTTAACATGAATATGTAGCATCCAAAGTTCACTTTGATTCTTTATTTTTAAACTTCACTACCTACTAACGGTCTTTTTTAACACAATATTTTAGAAATCTAACAATGTTCAGAGATATTTTAAAAGTTATGTGCTTGCATTAAGTCCCTCAACGGATCTATTAGCATTTACACTGGGAATTCACTTACTTGAAGTATTTCTTAAACTAGATCCTGGCACAAATTATATCACTATACGCATTTTTTAGAATTTCGTATAATTTACGTCACTAATAATAATTGTCTACATTTGTAGCATTAACTAACATTTTGGTTTACTTTTCACAATAACTTGGTAACTTTATTTATTTTTATTAAGAATATGTAATGGTTCATGAGTTTACTCCTAGTGGCGCCCCCTAGCGTACTGTCAGTATGTGTGGCGCAGTGCGGTAGTTAAAGCTTGGGAGGTGCGGAGAGTGACCATTCTCATTACTTTTTATTCTTTGCTTGTAGCTATGTCTATACATGAATCTATATATGTGGAACACCTTTTTCCGATCTATGCTCAATATTGATTATATGACTGTAATGCTAAATAAACCACCAAAACTCTCCATGTAAACATTTACAAACTTTGAGAAAAGCTTAGGATGCATACAAATCTGGTGAATGCGCCGCGGACGCGCTGAATGGTGCATGCGTGCAATTAAATACATGTCAATATATGTGGCACACGACCGACACACGAACTGATGGCACAACGTAACGAACGTGTGCGACTCGCGAGGCTTTCGCAAAGCTACACCACCGAATGGAACAGCCCCCCATAGTTAGTGATATTATCTTTAATACAATAAATACAGAATATTTTTGGAATATACGGAGACATACACACAGGTCAGTTATTGGCGCTATACTATTTCAGCTTTCTAATTTGTGGTTTCAGTGCAAACGAGAATTGATATTTAAAAGTGATATAAGGTGAGTTACCAGGGATGGATGGCCCTTATTTCGTCTCTATTTCTGATTAAATACTCGATGGGACAGTTAAACGCTCATTATAATCCCTTCAAGGTTTTCAGTGTCTAACTATGTACCATAGAATGTGTGACTCCAAACTAATATTATAAACGCGGAACTGACTCTGTTCGTTACATACTATGGAAATAGAAGGGACCCAGGAGAAGGATGCAGGCAACTCCTTGTCACAAAATTAAATCTTAAAACCATTAAAATAGGGAATGAAAGTTTGTATGGAGATCCAACAAAAATATGAACTATAATATATATATGATTAGTATAACTACGTAGGCTACACGAAGCATTTATTCCATGAAGACGAAGTCGCGGGCACCAGCAGAAAGAAATAAATTAAATAAATTGAACTTTTAAAACGACTGAGAGACGAAATCTACTACAATTCGACTACAACAAGTAGTCGAATTGTAAAAACTATAAAAAAAATTAGTATAGTATAGTTAGTATAGTGTTGTTTAAGTATTTGCAGCGCATTCGCCAAATCTGTACGCACCCTTATCTTTATTTGTATGTTGTCGTTTGACAGGATAAATACATATCGAGTTCTTAGGTTTTCGCGATTGTTACACTTAGGAAATGAAAGTATTTTTCCGGATTTAAATCGCGTATATTTGTTTTTTCAAACAAACCAACGTTTCGGGCCCTTTACAGGTTCCATGGTTACGGTTGATGAGTCAACTTCATTTATAGCGATTTAAATCTGGAAAAATACTTTCATTTCCTAACGATAAATACATTCAAAAATAGGGAAAAGACCCAGTAATCAGATCTTTTCTCTATTTTTAAATGTATACATTCTATAGGCTAGAGCTAGACAATCTGTGTTCACTGTAGGGAAGATACACATAAATGCACGCATACAAACACACACACACACACACACACACACACACACACACACACACACACA